CCCCTGCCACAGGAGCTGGAAAGGGTTAACAACCTAAAATTATATTGGTCCAACCATAGAACCATAAACAGGAAGTTCTCCAGAAAAATTTAAATTTAAACCTGGTGACTCAGGTTGGCTTGTGCTCCCTGAGCCGCTCGGGATGCACGCACGGGTCGCAGCCCCGGTTTATTGCCGGTGGCAAATTACACCGTTGGTTTGGAAACAGCGGCAAAGATGGGCAGAAGAGGGGCTGGGCGGGATGGGGTTGTTGGATAATCTTGGATTTCCTTCCTCCGTGGGGATGGCGTGTCGCTTCATCGTCTCCCATCGCGTGGCATTGCTTTAGCTGGGTTTTACAGCACGTTGCACTAATGAAAATGTTTTCTGGGGTTCCGGTTGTCCGATGGAGCAGTGTTAGAGCAGCGCTGGGAACCTGTCAGCAAAGCTGGTGAGGAGCAAACGGAGAACCAGCCCCGTGTTTGCTGCCCGGCACTGACTTGGGAGAGGCAGCGTGACCAGCGGCCAAGCCAGAGTCCTGAAACACGTGTTATTAGCTGAGACTTTGGATAGCAGAGTGGGAATTTGGACTAGTCCAAGAGGGGCCTCGGGCGCCTTCCCGGGAAGCTCCTGGTGTGGATTTGCAGGATGATCTTTAAGGTCCCTTCCAACCCAAACCATTCCATGATTCAAGACCAGGTTGGATGAGGCTTTGGGCAACCTGGTGTGGTGGAAGGTGTCCCTGCCCATGGCAGGGGGGCTGGAACTGGGTGATCTGTGAGGTCCCTTCCAACCCAAACCATTCCGTGATTCTATGATGCTGTGATTTGGGATGGGGTGCCGATGCCGGTGAGCTATAGTCTTGCTCTAGGTGAGGCATCTCTGGGAAAAGATACGTAAAAGATTCCATTATGCAACCAAATTTTTCTTTTTAATTAAAGCAGTACGATGCAGAAAGCATTGGGAGATTCTGGATGAGATGCTTTAACCAAGCAGCACCTCTTTAACTTAATCAAATACATTGAAAACAGCAGTTGCATTCCTGGATTTTTGTTATACTGGTAGGTGAAAGAAATCCAATCATATTTTTCAGGACAGTTGCGTGGCTGTAACCATCTGACCCAGCCACCCTTACATATGTTGTGTAATTTATTTTGAGTACTCTTCACCTTTGAGCTAGCTTGCGTGGGGAAAATCCTTCAGGTAACCCAGATTTTACTAGCAACCATATTAAAGATTTTAAGAATGAAGCTGTTCTGCTGGCAGGTGAGCTGCTCCTACAGCTGTTGTATCAGAAAAATCCTTTGAAGCAGCTCCCAGCTCCAGACACTCAGGTTGTTACTTTTTTTAATATCCTCTTTCTAAATATTTACAGGGTTTGTTATTTTTTTTGTGATTATTATTTCTTTTTTTTTCCCTCCCCTTCGGATTTGTTTTTAAACATAGCGTGTTCTTCAGCTGTTTATTTTGCCAAGGAACGCTTGGAGCATCCATTGCATTTATTTGCCTTACTGAGACGGTGGGAGGGTGGGGAGAGGGTTGTGCTGCGGCTGGAGGTGGAGGTGGTGGCCTCGGGGGGAGACACCAGCCCTTGGAGGGGGAGCACGCTGCACGGAAAGGGGTGCTGCTGCCGCAGGACAAGCCCTGCTCCCCCCAAAACCCATCACCGAGGACGGGAGCCGTGGGGCTGGGCGGTTTGGGGCCGGCAGCGCTGGCTTACACATTCCCTCTCCTCTCTTTTCCAGGATACCGTTCAAGATCGGGCAGCCCAAGAAACAGATTGTACCCAAGACAGTGAGTAAACCAGTTCCCCCTTTTTAGATCCAGCCTTTGATCATGTGGCTGATGAGTCAAGCCGGCACTTTGACTCGTCCCATTTTGTGAGCGTGTGCCTGCGTGGGAAGGAGATGTGAGCGAGCAGAACCTGTTGCCGCGTGTGACCAGCGCTTGGTTCCTCGTGCGAGGAGTGAGGGGGAGCCCCAACCAGGGAGAGTATTTTGGTTTGGGATCTGTTCCTTTTTTTTATTTTTTATTTTTTATTTTCTGTGGGGTTGGTAGGGGGGGGGATGAGGGGAAGAGCTCTCTTGGTCTGGCACAGTTTTCCTTGGAGATGGCTGAACGGGCTTCCTTCCTTCCTTCCTTCTTTCAGCAATGGCTTGTTTGTTCATCCTTTCTGAGCAGATGGAGGAGGAGGAGTGGTTCAGATCGCTGAATATAACTGTTTCCAAAGAAAGGCTTATAAGCTGAGATGCTTAGTGCTCGGGCGTGAATTAATTTGTGCTGCACAGCATTTGCTTTAAAAGCAAATTAAAAAAGCATTTTGTATTCTCGTGCGTTTGAGACTCCTATCCCAAGTGCTGTTGCTTGCAGCTGGCTGTGGTATTTTCCCTTCTTAAGCAGATGGTCTTTGCCTTCGTCCTGTGCAATAAAAGCTGTGGGACCTCACCGTAGCTGTCCCTGAAAACCAGCCTGCATACCTGCTCTAAAATAAGTGCCCCGCCGGCGAGCGCGGTGGAGACCTTGTCTTTGTAAGGGCATTGGTGACCTAATCCCTTGAACAGACTAACATCTCTGATCCTTCCTCTCTGGGCCACTCATCGCCGCTAATTCCTCAGGATGCGTGGGCACTCGTGTTTACGGGGCAGTTTCTCCTTGGGACATGACATTTTCCTCTGGAGGCAGAGGGCTAAATCTGCCACTCCCTTTATGGCTTGATTGTCATGTTTTATTTTAAAGGATTTGGGACTTGTCTGCTGCCGTAGAGCAGCAATTTTCTGTAACGGCTCCAAACTGTCAGTACAAAATTTAAGCCAGGCAGGCGATGAAGACAAGGATGGATAAAAATCCCTCAATGTTTCTTGCATCTCTTCAGCTGCCCTTTTTCCAGGAGCTGGTGACCAGAAGGCAGAAGGAAAGACCTGCAGTCTCCCAGGAAAGGCAGCCCACCGGCCCTGGGTCTTCGCACCCATTGCCATTCATTTCAGGAGACCCCACGTTGTCTTGCTCCATGGAATTTTACCTCTCGTCCTCTTTCCCGGTGTTTCCAACACCGGTGCCCTTCTAGGCTGTTGCAAGAACCAACTGCTCTGCAGCTCTGGGTGTCTTGGCCAACTTTCTTGGACGTCTCCATCCCACCCGTTCTCACATCCAAGTTGACTATATTTTCTCTCTTGACAGTGCTTACTGATTTTCCTCTCGTCCTGCTGTGTTGAGTGTTACAAAAGGTTTGTCCAAAAGACCTTGTCTCCATCGCTGCTGAAATCAGCTGTCCCCAAGCTGCGGCAGGAGCTTGGGTTCTGTGCAGATGAAGTCAGAGTTTGCACCTCTGAGAGCTTGCCTTCCCCTGAGCTGCTGCTATGTGCTGTTCTGAGGCAGTTGGCAGGCATTGCTTATATATATATTTTTTTTGTGTGTGTGTGTATTAAATAGAACAGCTCAGAATATCCGACAGGCAAAGGTTCATTCAGCAGCGCAAGCATTTCCAGGCCTTTTCCCTTTCTTTCTTTCCTTCCTTCCTTCCTTCCTTCCTTCCTTCCTTCCTTCCTTCCTTCCGTCCGTCCTTCCTTCCGTCCTTCCTTCTGTCCTCCTTTTCCTCAGCTTCCCCAAGAAGAACAAGAAGTTTTTGTGTCAACAGCTCAGAGTCGGATGCCGATTTTTAAATGGCTTCCACTTGCTGCGTGTCGATGATGATGATGATGATACTCTCCGGGCAGCAGATACATGGAAACCAGAAAACAGGAAGCCTGAAGCCTTGCAACCTCACAGTAAGTGTAAAGTGCAGCTCTTCAAAGAAGAACAAACGGCAGGAAACCACCCATCTCCCCTGGGAGCGAGGCGTTCAGCGTCGTGGTGTGGAAGCGTTGGGGCTGCTTTGTAGCTTCAGCGAGCGCCAGGGCCCCAGCTTTACCTCCCAGTTGCAGGCTGAGACACTCCATCTGTGCAGGCTTTTGGGAACAGCGGTAGCAGCCGAGGTCTGTGATATTCCAGATGTTGGCCTCTGGAGCCCGCTGCAGGAAGTGGGAAGGTGTGGCATCTCCAGGGCTGCATCCCAAGCCGATCAGAAGGGAAGTGGTTGCGGGTAGAGAATCTCCCACTCACAGAGATTGGACCACAAAAGAGGAAAGGAGAGGAAAAAAAAAAAAAGGCATTTGTTAGGATCTCACTTGTTTGGCTCTGCATGAGGCACGTAACTGCAGCGCGGGAGAGGGAGGAATCGCTTTGCCGAGGGAGGCTTCGCTCTCCAGCGAGCCTTTTTTCTTTTCTTGATGAAACGATGCTGGGGCCGGTGTCAAATCCAGGCCGGCAGTAGTACTGAAAAGCAATTTGCCGAGGCTGCAGAGGGAATTAGTCATGACTCCGTATGCCCACTCGCTTCTGATCCTTTGAAGAAGGGCATGGTGTCAGCCACAGTTTAGCTCTTCAGGTAGAAGGAAACCCCCGTAGAAAATATCGGCTGGTGAACTGAAGTGATCTCCCACCCCCCAGACATGCCTCTGCTTTGTTTCCACCTTAACCTGGGCAAATCCAATTCCAGACAACATAATCTCTCCCCTCCTCTCCCCTGAAAAGAGCAGCTGTCACCGGGCTTGCCGAGAGGCCGGGAGCCGGGTGGGAGGATCTAATGCGCAGAGAGGACCTGCTGTCAGTGGAGCTGCAGAGGACACAGCAGCACAGCCCAATTAAACTAATGCCCAGTGATAGGAGTTAAACCTGTTAGAATTATATCTCCCTGCAGAATGTTTATTGCTCAAATCCGATGCAGCGGTGAAGCCTCTTACGGCAGAGATGTTCTTCCCTCCCCCAGGACAACTTCTGTCCAAGCAGAGGTTACGCTGGAACCAGAGCTGCGGTTGTCTCCCGAGTTCTCCTGCAGCTCCAGCTCGCTGAAGTTCATCTGCGTCACCCCAAGGTTGTGCCCTGCTCTTCACCGGGGCTTGGGTTATCTGAGCCGGCAGGTTGCCGGGAAGAAGAGCCGGCCGCACGTCCCCGCGGGGCACGGAGCCGGGTCGGAAGCTGGGAGAGCCAGCCAGCTCTCATCCCCTCTTGGGATGGGGCATCCCAGTGCACAGCCCTTTCACATCACCCAGGCTTTACCCCTTCCTCCTTTCCTTCCTCCCTCCCTCAGCAGCACTCTGGCCAGGGCTGACTCAGATGGCTCGCCTTCCTCCTCCTCGCTGGCTAACCTTGGGTGAGTCAGCTTGGCAGGGAGCGGAGACCTGAGCTGTGGGCCCGCACGTCTGCCAAGCCTCCCTTCCTTGACTCATCCCAGCAGCTCGGCCTTCCCCAGGGATGTCGGACGGAGGAGCTCCATGAGCAGGAGGATTCCACTGCAGCTGCCGGCCGTCAGCGCCTTTCCATTGGGCTCCACCAGCGAGCTGGAAATCCCAAAATAACGGAGTAAATGTCGCAGAAATGGTGGGGTGAAGTCAAGTGACACCAGTTAAATAATGTTGCTCGTTTTCACTCTCTTCTTTCAATCTTCAGCGGGACTTAACCGGTCTCTGCGGTTCGGAGGTGCGTCCTTTTTCTCTTTTAGCTGCCCCCTAAGCAGTTTTTCTTGGAAGCTTTCTTGCCAGAGGGGGTTTGGAGAGCTTGCTGGGTGGTGAAGTCCGAGATACACCTGCACTGCGCAGCGTTGCTTCCGCTCGGGGCTCTGCTGTCGGCCACAAAGCAAATATTCACCCACGTTACTTGCACAAATTCTGCCTTGGATCTCCTCTTGCTTGATGGAATGGCAGAAGTTCCAGGTTATAGCAGAATTTCTGGCCTAATTATATGGGTTTCTTTCTTTTGGAGAGAAGGGAGGAGGAAGCATTTGCTTCCTTCTTTTTCCCAAGACCCATGAAGAGGCTGAGACCACTGGAACATGTGGAAATCAGCTAGTCCTCCTCCTCCAGGAAAAGAAATTAACCTCAGGGGAGTAAGAAGGTTCATCACAGTCCCTTATTTCCATCTCTTTGTAGTATTGGCTTTGGTCTCGCTTCGTTGCCTTGTAACCGTGGTGTCGATTATGCTGTTGCCCTTAAAGCAGGAGGGATGTTATCGCCGGTGGAAGGCCCGGTGTTTGCAAACAAAAATAACTGGGTGAAAAAGAAGAACGTCGTTTTATTTCAGTGCTTTTAAGAACTCGCCGTTCTTTATGTAGGTTTAAATAAAAACTCAGAGACGAGGGATCTTGCATTAACTAGCCCATATGCCTGGAAGAAAAAGCGTTCGATACAGAAACGCGTTTTGATTTTTGAGTTTTCAGAAAGAGACTGCGGAGAAGTGGGATTATTTTAATATTACGGAAGCTTCCCTTCAGGATATTGTAATTTTCTTGCCTGTACTTCTTGTTCTCGTTACTCTTAACGTGATAATCCTATCCCTAGCCTTTCGCCGTAAGTGTCGGCTATGTGTGGCCGTTGATGATAGCTCCTGGGAGCGGGAATTACTGTGTGCTCTGCGAAACGTGCTTGGCTTGCTCTCCGCTTGTCCTCCTGGCACGTCTCCGATCTGCCCGTCGCTGCCACCTGCAAACCCGCGCGGTGGGAGCACGTGAGAGTGGGTCTTCTCTAATGCCCGGGGGGGGGCCCCGCTCTTCGCTGCTCGTGCCGTATATCTGGGCTGCTACGATGCAAACGGGAGCGGCGGTGGCGGGGAGGGCTACATCAGCCCGCAGACTGTGATGACTGGTAGCCAGTTGCTACTGTGGGCGTGAAAAATAAGAGCAATCCTTGGGCAGCTGTCTCTGCGTAGATGGCACTGGAGAAGTGAGTCAGGCCGGGCAGCCCAAGTGCTGCCTTGTAGATTCACTTCCATCACATGTAGAAAAGCTCACGGGCAAACTGGGTTGGGTGTTTTGGGGGAGCTTGGGAGCCCTGGAAAAGTTGGGGGTTCACATCACCCAGAGGGTTGTGGGATGAAGTTTTGCCTTCCCTTGTATCCATCAGGCGACGCCGCCTCAAAGCAAAATGGGGGAATCAAACAGCAAAAATACCCTGAATCTTTACAGGTGGTTTAGTTTCCTGGCCAAAAGCTCTGGTTCTTGGAGGGACTGATTGCTGAGCGGACACAAGGAAGAACGTGGAGAGCTCTGGCTGGAGCTCCGTGCCGGGGGACGGATACCACCAGCCTTCAAAGGACATTTTTTTGAGTCGTGCCCGACCCTCTCTGGTTTGCAACCAAAACAATTCACACGTAAGGCGTATAAATAGAGTGCAATACTCCCTGGTTATTTTAGCAGCCGGAACAGCCGTAGAAATGGAGGGTGATTTTTTACTCTGTGCTGGTTACCTGACCTCCAGGCACCAGCTGCTGCGGATTTCTGCAGAACTGTGAACCGGGCAGAACTCGTGTGAGCTGCCCCCACACTGCTCCATGCCTGTTCCCCAGCGACCATTTTTAGCAGCCACGCAAACGAGTTGGAGCTCGGCGGAGGTTTTTCGTCGGCAGGGAGAGCCAGCATGCGTCTCCCGGATGGTGGGAGCTGATGGGATGGACAGCTGTCCACTGGGGATGGGGCTGGAGCTTGGCTGCCTTCAGATTGAGCCGGTTGCATCGCTGCGGAGTTTAATTGTGTCTGAAAGTGCAGACTGAAAAGATATTTGGAAAAGAAGGTTTCAAGAACGCTGGGATTGCTGGGCTCCATCCTAAAATACTGGTCTTTTAATAGCAATTTTGATTGAAAAGCAAACGTCCCTATTAAGCGTTCTGGTTTCACGTCATGCTGTTACATCGAGCCTGGGTTTGAAATCCCGAGGACAGCATGAAGATTTGGAACAAACCTTTGGATCCTTCTAGTCCTGGCTGCTTGCAACACTTAGCGTTTCCTTAATAGCATGGTAGCTTGACAACACAAATGAACCTAGTTTTGATCCCATGACAACAAAAGCGCATGTATTTACTCTTGGCTGGTCAATTGAAATCCATTTGCTTATTTGGTCGGCGAGGTGTGGAATGAATGTTTAAGTGTGTGTTAAAACAGTCAGCATGGAAGGAAAGTTCCTTAAAATATCTCGTATCGCTGGAGATTTGCTGCCAGATAGCAAGTAGGAGGAAGCAGTCATTGATGTAGCATCGGGAGAAGGCTGTTCCTCAGCTCTGTGCTCTTTGCCAGCACAGGTTTCTCCTCCCTGCGCCAGGTGCCGCAGTCCGCTTGGGCCAGTGCTCCAGCCAGAGTGTTCCATCGGAGGGAGCTACCGCAGGAAGAAGGAGCGTTATCCAGGGGGGCAAATACTGCAGAGACTGGAGGGCTGAGTGACGGCTCGAGGGGTTTAGGGGGAGAAAACCCATCCTGTTGAGGATGGGGAAGGAGAGAGCGGCTGGGTGGGATGTGGCAGCCAGCCACGGTCAGACCCAGCGTGGGGCTGGAGGAGAAGTGGCTCCTCTCAGCTGCTGGGACCGTGGTGCCTCTGGAAGAGAACGCGGACCCGGCCCCCGGCAGCACCGAGCGGAGCCGTGGGCGCCTGTGTCAGCGCGTGCGGAGTTGCCATCTCTCTGCTCTTAAGGCATTCCCATTTACTCTGTCAGCTTCCAATTCGTGTGCTGGAGCACATCCTGGGAATGAGCTGACGCAGTTGGTGGTGGTGTCTTTTGCTCTGAGAGAATCGGAAGAAAAAAAAAAACCCAAGACTTGATTTACTTTTGATGCGTAACTCCCATTATAGCTGCAGCTTGTGCTTCCGTGGGTTCACGTAGGCATTTCCTGAGGACAAGTTTCCCTGCACAGGTAGTTGCCACTCCAGGCTCTGCCGCAATACCTTTGAGCTGATTTCCATCTCTTCTTTCCACAGGTGGAGAGAGACTTTGAAAGGGAATATGGGAAGCTTCAGCAGTAAGTATCAACCACACTGGTAAAACAGGAACAGTAGCATGCTTCTCCCTTGTGCCCTCTTATTGCGTCTTCCCAGGAAATTTTAGCCAGTTTTGCTCTTCCCAGCAAATCACTCGCTGCCCTGTAATTTCTAATTCTTCAGAGTTTCTCTGGTGGCTGAGTGTTCAAAGGTGTCCTAAGAAGTATTTGCAGTGAGGTTGAGGTTTGCAGATTATGGCAGCTCTAAAGTAAAGAGTGTAAAATTGCCAGAAAACCGTGGGGTCGCTGAACAGCTCGACACCTCTGAGGCCAAATACTGGCTTTACCATCCTGGCTGTGTCACATAAGCTCACACTTATCATCTGGAAGCATTTGGCTTTACCATTTGTGGTAAGTGTGAGGACTTAAGAAAATATGTGACTTTGAATAAGGGATCACCAACTTGAAAAGGTCGAAAACTATCTGAAAACAACCAGGAAAGGTTGGGCAGCGCTGAACTGCACAGAGCCTCGCCTGGATATTTTTAACTCAGAACAGAAGCCAGCATATTCAGCCCGTAAATGATTTGTTGCATGTATGATATGCTTCGGTTTGTTTCTTTCCAAGATTCAGACTTTGCCTTGTTCTCCCATCTTTCAGATTGGAAGATCAGACCAAAAAACTTCAGAAGGATATGAAGAAAAGCACAGATGCAGACTTGGGTATGTGACTGTAGGATACATAGACTGTGAACTTGGCCACAAAGAGATGAAGTGACTTTCTCAAGATCACATGAGTAATCTGTGACAAGCCTGGAAAACAAATCTAGATCTCAGTCCCACTCAGTTTGCTTAGTTACAAGGCCATCTGCATGAGGGCTGCCGAGCAGTATCTCAACCAAGGGAACAGAAAGTGTGTTACGGGCATAGTCCCTGTCTCTGGAGCTGCAGCTTGCTGTGTGGCCTTGGACAAGTCACTTTCTTTTCTTTGCCTCAGTTTCTACAACCAAAAAATAGGAGTAATTAGTCCGGCTCTCGTGTTAGGCAGGCAGGAGCAGTCTCCAGCTGAGCCTACGGTGTCGAGCGATGCATATTCATCCGCTCGAGTTGAGGGCATCTCATGTGATCTGAAGCCAAAGGAAGGTGGGACGAGGCTTTGGGGTCTCCTCGGAGCACCACGTAGTTTCACGGATGAACTGCTGACCTAGCAGCTCTCGTTCAGGAATAACCCTGCCCGTTCCCTCGCTTTGGCTTAGCTCCGTGGCAGTGGGCGATGTCGGAAGCAATAAACAAGTCATCTCTGCGCGTACCGCCGCAGCTGCCTGCGCCGCCGGACATCTGCCTTTCAGGTGTCCCATCCCTGCTGCCCGCTCCGCCCGTAGCTTCTCCGGTAGGGAACTGGTGTGACTGCACCCCGTGGCGCAGGCTTTAAAGGGAGAGAGGAGATGGAGCGATCTGGCGAAGGGGAGCTGGGAGAAGTGGATTTGATGGATGCTGGTTACTGAACCCAGCAGGGCAGCCTGCAGAAACATGCGGCAAGGAGCTGTTTTAAACACAGATGGTTTTTCTCAGCGTGTGGTTTGGAGTAGTCCCTGTTTGTACCGGGCCCCCACAGCTCCGGAGCCAAGGCAGATGCACCAGCGCAAACAGGTGTGGGCTGGACTGGTCCAACACTCATCTCGTGGGATTTCGGTTCACAGAGGGGCAGAGGAGTGGGAAGGAGCCCCAGCGGGCGCTTTGCCAGCGGGAGGGCTGGCAAATTTGGGGCTTCCCATGATACAGGCTCTCACCTGTGTGTATGTCTGTGTGCGTGCTCGGATATTGCCAGACACAAACACGGATCCCAGCTCTTGCCCGCGCTCTCCCACCCTTCCCAGCACCGTGCTGGCACATGCGTGTGCTTGCACAGGGGGAGCGGTGGGAAAGGCACCAGTAACTGGTGCTGCCAGGACTCCTTTCCAGGCTGAAAACTGCCCTTTCTGCGGACTTTGGTCATTGTCAGGGATCCTTGGTAAGTTTTTCCTTGTTAAGGATTCCCCTCCCCTCCCTTGCAGTGGGCGTTGTTTATATGGAGCATTTCAAGTCCCAGAGGAGCTGTGGGAGGACTTTCTTTTTCCGTTCTGCTACATGGCAGAGTCACAAATGAGCCTTGGCCAGATCCAGTAAGATCTGATTTCTCATTTAAAGGCATGAAATCATGAGTGTAAGGGAAGATTTTGAATGTGGTCTGGTGAGGGATGGGTGAAGGAAAAGGAGGCAGATTGGATCAAGCACTGAGGACTGCTTTCCTCACCTGGCAGTGCCCATTCCCGAGAGGAGAGATAACTGCTTGCTCAGCCAACATCCAGCCCCCGTATCCGACGAGGATGGCAGTGCATCAGTGGTGGTGTGTCCTCTGGAGTGTCTGATTTCTTCCACTGTACCTCTGTGCCGAGGGGTTTGATTATTCACTGCCTGCGAACACTCCCTAGCAAACTGGACCTGGTGGCTCGAGTCTCCACCTTCTGCCAAAACAGACTCGGCTCCAAACGAGACCGATTCCTCCGTCTGCACGGAAATGTTCCAGCGAGGCTCGGCTGCTGCCCTGCCAGCTGCAGCAGTGTGGCTGGCACCAGGGTACGGGTTATTAGCAGCACTCTCTTGTCCTGTGGCTAAAGATCACTAACCCCCTTCCCCAACCTCTTTCCAAAGAAAATAAGATCTTAAGGAGCAGGAGGATGTTCTTTAGTTGGAGACAAAAGCTGTCCTTTTGGAATGAGATGCAGGTGACCCACTGGATCACCGTGGCTCAGTTGTGCTCTCCGGAGCATGCCTGGCTGTTCTCCGCTCCTTTTGTCACGATTCAAACAAGCAGTGACTCTCCAAAGTCGCTTCCTTTTAATTGGAATCGCCTCCCGCATGTTTTATTAGCAAAGTGCAGTACAGACCCTCCTGAAGCCCACCCCGTGGGGCAGGCGATGCTCTCCTCTCCTCTCCCACGCCAGCGATGTGCCTGTTGAGTCTGAAGATGGAGCACGTGGAGGTGGGACCGGGGGGTGCCCTCCCGAGGTCCCGGCTCGTCGGGGATGCAGAGTGTCCGCAAAGCCGCCCTGGGAACCACGGAGCCCACCCCAGCGGGTTTTTCAGAGCTGTCCAGGTGAGGTCAGTGATGCAGGGGCAGCGCCTGGCCCAAAGTCTCACTGGACATTCCTGAAAAGCCCCATTTTTTGGCCTCCTGGCATGACCCCGCTGCTCGCCGCAGCTCGTCTCGCTGCAGTACGCTTTCAGTCCTCTCCTTGTGAAGGGAAGCTAATTTTTCTCCCAGCTGAAGGAGTTCTGCCGTTGTTAACTCCGTCCCGTTTTGGCACAAATCCTTCCTCAGATGTGGTCACACATATGGATTATATCCCATCTGTTTAAAGGTTTAAATGCCTAAACCCTTAATGTTTGGATAATGGACGGATACGGTAGCTTTGTTATTCCGTAGTTAGTGTCTCGTTCTGCGTTGAGCTTCCCAGCTATTTAGCTTCTGAGCTCTCTGTATAATTGTGTGTAACCTTTAAATCAGAATGTTTAACCCCTTGATTTATGATCTTAAGCCCCATTATTCAGATGACTTTAACTTTTAATATCTGAGTGAGTGCAGTAGGAATCTTTCCAAAGCTCATCTGTAGCACGGCTCAAGCATCTGGCTTTCTGATCTTAAACTGGAATAACTTCCAGCAACAGTGCTGACAAAAAAGAACATTTTTAAATTTTTTTTTAGTACCCGTGACTCTTTTTTTTTCTTCTTTATTCCCATTTATATTGCTGCTTGCCTTTTTATTCATCTTTTTTTCCATTCTGTACCTTGGCTATTTTCTTGCTCTTTTGTAGTGGTCCTGTCATAGGGATTTAATTTTCCCTTTGAAGACCAAGTGTGTGGATAGGAAGAGAGCTGTGTCTGATGGAAAACAAGCAAAAGTGTCTGGTGAGATGGGAACTGAAGCCTGTCAGAGCGTGACCTGGTGTTTCTGGATTTCGTGGTGGTGGTCTCGGGGTCTGAAGAGACTTCAGCCTTTGCATTTGCCCCTGGTTTGTGGGATTGGTCTCCACGGGCAGAAAATTTAGGCTCGTTGAGGGAAAGTGCTTAGCCAGCTTGTGTCTCTGCTGCTTGTGTGGTGCCTATTTTGAGAGTAAAAGAGAAACCTCATCTTCCAGTCCTGTCAGTCTGGTCCTTTTCCACCAGCACTAAATCCACTTCAAAATATATATTTTTGTGAAACCATTTGAAAGGCTTAATGGACTGTGACTTTTTTCTCATTGTGGAAGAGCTGTAGTTGAGACTGAGAGTGACACTTAATAGTCTGTCGAGAAAAGACGTATAAAAAACCCCATCTACATTTTTTTGAAGCGAACAGTGCTTTTGTTAGTCTGGTATTATTTCTGGCAACATCACAAGCCGTACATCGGAGTGGTTCAGACTGAACTTAGATAAAAACAGTTCTCTGGGTGTTTACGTGAATGAATTGGTGGCTCTTCCTTTCTTTTCCCTCAACCAACAGTGAATATCTTCCTGGAAAGTCATAGAATCATAGAATGGTTAGGGCTGGAAGGGACCTTCAAAGGTCATCTAGTCCAACCCCCCTGCAAGGAACAGGGATATCAAAAAAGTCGTGACGACTTTATCAAAAGTCGTGCTAAAACCTTTTTGGTGGCCGAAGTCCCTGATTTTTGCCCACGGTCACCCTTTGCAGGAGCCAGCCCTGGCAGTGAGGGGTTGTGTGGCCGTCCCACCAGGCAGCCACTGAGACCTGACCCTCTCTGCTTTCCTTTGCATGCTCTCTGCTCCCGCTGCCCGCAGCCATGTCCAAGTCAGCCGTCAAGATCTCTTCGGACCTGCTGTCTAACCCCCTGTGTGAACAGGAGCCCAGCTTCCTGGAGATGGTCACTGCCTTCGACACAGCGATGAAGAGGATGGACTCTTTCAACCAGGAGAAGGTGAGTATGGGTTTGGCTGAAGAAGGGGAGACCAGGGTGTGCCGAGGTGCGGTTGGTGCCTCCTCCTTCCCTTTTTGTCGTTGTCTCTGAGATGCGTCCCACGTGAATTTCTCTATAACCTTACTCTCCTTCTGCCTCTGGTTGTACTGGGGATTTCAGCTCATCCTGAGAACATGGGAGAAGTTTGCTCTTTTTTGGTTAAAGGGCATTGTGGTTGTGCTCAGAAGCCCACATCATCCTATGGTAGGCACTGTGCAAACATGTACCGTTGTGCAAACAAGCTTCTTCAACAAGCCTGACATATAATCATCCCTTTTGCTTTCGACAGGTGAATCAGATCCAAAAGACAGTCATAGAGCCTTTGAAAAAGTAAGTACCAACGTTGTCTTATGAGCCATAGCGAGCGTTTGTCATAACCGTGTGCTTTAGGGATGTGTATCATCACAAGGGATGCTGTCAGGTTAGGAATCAGCCCTTCCTAAAGAGGTAATAGTTCATGTCCCTGTGACAAAATGGCATTCTCCTGGCTTTCAGCCGGGCATGGGGAGTGGGATGGTTTAGCTGAGTCCACACTCTTACTCCGTGGCAAGGGTGAAGACCTCTTGTGTCTTAGCCAGCCAGCTGTCTTTATCTGTACTTTAAAGAACACCTGAGATGAGTAACACTGAGTGCGTTACAGCATCCAGCTTCTCATCGTTTATGTGTCGGTGACTCCCAACACTTTGCTCCAGCCGAAGGAGGAAAGTGGACTGGGCAGCTCCCCTGCGAGCAGCGGGCACGGGCAGTGCCATCCAGCCCAGGGCGGTGAGCGTTTGGCTGTCGGAAAAAAAGTTTCTTTCCTTTGGAAGTTTTCTAAATAAAAAAGTAGAAGCTTGCTTTTAGTGAAAGTTCTTTTGTGTTTATAAATAATATATCCATGCAGGGAAGAAAGAGATGTTACAGAGGCGTTGTAGCTAGACAGTGAGCAGGTGGGAAGGACGGCCAGAAAAACACCGGCGTCCCGAGCTCGTAACTGATCCGGGATGGGATGTCTCAGACCCTGGAGAAAGTCTTGCAAGGAAAAGCTTCAGACTGTGCGTGGGACCCCACTGCAGAGTCACTCCAGAAGCCACCCCATCACTGGGAGGAGTGGTGGCAGGGAGCGTGCCGGAGCCGGACCTCCCTCCAAGCCGTGCCCGTCCGCAGATGGCACGGCTTGGAAACAAAACCTTATCAGGGAGCGAGTGCCAGAGCCGTGGGCAGGATTGTGCTGGTAGCAGGTTTCCATGTTTTCCCCTGTTCCATGCTCACCGGTGCCGTAGGGTGCGTCGGTGCTCAGCCATGCCTCGGCACCGCGGCGATTTTGTCACCGTGGTCTCATCTGGCACAATTCCCCCGTTTCTCCCGGCGTTCGCAGCCGTTGCCGGTGTCACAGGCTCCTCCGGAACATTTCAGGAGTGCTTCGGTCCCTGGACCAAATGTCTTCTGAAATCCGGAGATTTGCTATTTTGTTACAAGAACAGAGCGAGCAAGCGAAAATAAAATAAAATGACTTTAATATGACAGTAAGTGTTGCAAATTGCTGAATAACAATTTTAGTTTAGGTTTGACACAGGGTGGGTTTTTTGGTTTGTTGTTTTTTTTTGTGGGTTTTGCTTTTTTTTTTAAGTTGTTGTTTCTGCCCAAATCTGAAAGTAAAATCTCATCTGCCACTTAGCGCATGAGGTTACAGTGTGTTTCTATCCGGGGGTTGTTTGATGACTCAAGTTTTACTTTGGTCGTCTATCCACAACCAGAGATTCTTGATTATTTAGGGGAAAAAAAAAAAAGAAAAATAAGAAGAAAGAAAGAAAGGAAAAAATCCCAGGCTTGTGCTGTGGAATTGTGTTGCTTATTATCTAGATTGTCCTCATGAAAGATACATTAACTTTTTCTTCCAGCATTCTGTTAAAATTGGAAGAAGGGCATGTGTCTCTGAAATCTTCATGGGTTTTTGGTTGTTTTTTTTTTCCCCCAGCTTGCGTTAGTTGATGAAATGAAAGATAATTCCTTTCCCTGCAAACTTCCCCTTGTGTTTTAAACCCCGGGCAGCGCACGGGGCCGTTAATCCGAGGCAGTAAAGCCAGATCCGTGTTGCAGAGGTCCGGGATGCAAACGGGATGCTCCAGATCTGCCGTAGCACAAACAGGAGGGGAAGGACCCCGTTCCTCTGGCTTTGGGTGTGAGGCAGCTGCGTGAGATCACGGTCTGTTATTCCTGCCGTGGGGCAATACTGGGGAAACAGCGGAGTTTTGCGGGACACGGGGGCAGCTGGTTTGTTCCTCCTTGGTTTAAGCGTGGTGCCCTGGAGCGCGGCTTAACCGGTCATCAGTCCGGTCCTTAGGTAAAGGTGAGGGTGTTTACTTCAGCGTCCTGGCTGCTTTCCAGTCTTGGCAGTTCTCTCCAACTTCCATTGGACCCGAATATGGTATTTTTTTTCCCTTCCTGCCCTTTGGCACCTGCAAACAGTTGCTGCGTGCTCTTAAACAGCTTATGTGTCATGCTCGGAGAGGCGGCATCTCCACGCCGAGCGAAAAAATGTTCCTCTCCTTCCCTTTTTCCTGACTCTCCGCAAGCGTCGGTACGTGCATGGCCGAGTCGTGCAGCCAGGAACATTTCTAAGGAGCCCAAGGGTCCATTTTGAGGCTAATGAGATGCAGGAGAGAAATGCAGAATTTGCACCTCCCCTTGTCCTGCTGGCAGATAAACCCCAGCAACGTTTCTAGGATAAAAGTTTCAGATTAATGAAAGCTGCCTTGAGGAGCTCTTCTTATTTCCAGTTAGGTATTGCTTCCCTTCGCAGAGACAGTCCTCCCCAGCCTCTCCCAAACTTGCTTTGACCTAGAAAAAGGCTTTTGCTACAACAGCTGCACTTTATTACATCTTCACTGGTGGTCTTTTGTAGTTTATTAGCCAAAGAACCAGATAAGTATAATCCAGGCAATTATCATTAGTGGTAATATATTGTAATCAGAGGCACATGTGCAGTAAAGTCTCCATTCAGTTGTCCAGGGATAGTAGGTTTCAGACAAATATTGGAGAATTTGTTAAACCATGGAGAAGAAAGCAGTAGTAGATTTAGAGGGGGGTGGAGGCTCGTATTGTTTAAATCCTTCTGCTTTGGGGACGCCGGGTTATTCAGAGTTTTGCTTTTTTGAGCCCCAAGAAGCCCTTGGCTGGGAATGACTCATTTAACTTCAGGGAAGGAGCAAAGCTCTGGTGAGAATATCGCATATTTCTGCGTGTGGGTTGGGCAAGGAGCTGGGATGGCTGGGAAAGGTCGGGAGGGATCCGCTCTCCGCTTTGGGAGATGCCTGCATAAATTCACGCCAGATCAGTGGATTTGGGGCAAGGAGAGGGGAAAAAAACATCTGCTTTTTACTTCACTCTTGCAGTTCTTCACTCTGGCTTGGGTGAGGAGTGAGGTGTGTTGGCTGGATCGGGGATGGGTGATAGACCATGTACTGTCGTCTTCGTCTTACGTGTTGTGTGTCAGTATTTAAGGAAGGAAGCGGCTTAAATGAGCCAGGTGGTTTGGAGATCCACGGGCTTTAATGCCTTTCACGTTTGGAGCCGATTTTCCTTGCCCCAGGGTCTCGAGTTACCAAACTCTGACCGTCTGAACCTCCCTGAGTGCCAGGATGTCGTGGTCACCCTGGCGCGGTACCGTGCCCTGGGCTCGGAGCGCCGTCCCGCTCCTGCGGCCGAAGCCGAGGGGCTGCTGCA